TCTGTGTTTGGTGATGCTCTGACGTCAACAGCTTGAAATTCTCAGTAATTTTTTTAAACAAGGGCCTTGCATTTTCATTTTACACTGGGCCCCACAGTAATGTAGCCATTCTTTAGGGTAAGACTGTTTCTTTTTTTAACCAAGTCCAGTCTTTTTGAAAACAGGTGAAAAGGGAGGGGCCCACAGAGATTCTCTTAGCCAGACGACAATCTTTTTCCAAAGGACTGACTGTCTGCAGGCATCAGACAGTAAGAGATAATTGCTGTGTATTCTGTTCTTGATCACTGTTCTCCTCAATGCAAGATAAAGGGCACAGAGTACATTACCATTGAGAAGCTAATCATATGTTATAATTGGCAAATACTCATCTTTTATTTATTTGGTTTGGTGTCTATTTGTTTAAATAACTATTCCCTTTCAGAGGCCTTTATGAACTGATGTTAGAGTAAATTCTTAAGTCAGCTTTCTGCTGGTTTATACAAATATTGTCTTTCAGCCTACATGATTACACATATAACTCTGCATGTCAATTTATAGCTACGTAGACATTGTCTTGAGTCATTTGACTTTTTTAAAGTTGAGAGTCTTATTGATACATGCATTTGTTGAATGCATTAATATTTTCAACAAAATATAAACAATTTGTCCTACATGCCACTGGCTACAGAAGTATAATAATAATTATACATCAATAACCAGCTACTATGTATTTTATGAGTTAGTAATTTAAAGTTGCATAATCCTGTGAACATTTCAGCAAATTGTGTAAGTCATTTCTCTTCTTACTTTGAGTGGATAAGTAAACTACTTTTTACCTTGATGATATGAAATGGATTAGTTGCTTCTTTTCTCGCTTTTAGCTTGAAAATTTTACTTTTCAGAGGAGCCTTGCAAACTTTTATTTAAACTCTGAGGGAAGGGAGGTGGGAAACTCAATAGAGAAGTTTGACCCTTGTGGCTTCTTTGCCTAAGTGGCACCAAATAGTTTATTAATTAAATGACGGCTACAAAGCATCTTTCAGTAGTCATGTGATCCCACATCACCCCACCACCAATTTCAAGCGGCATGTGCTTTCCTGTGCAGGTTCTATGGCGCTTTGTTTTTGATCTCTCAAATAACTCACTAAATTATTTTCATGATAGTAAAAGTGGTGTGGACTTGTGTCATCTCTACTAGAGAATATGGCTTGTCCTAATCCCGAGGATGTCAGGACCACGGAAATCAGAAGCAGTGATGGTAGTTGAGACCAGGGAAGAGCAGTAGCAATAAACACGACACAGGGAGAAATGGACAGATTGAAGATATACTGAAAGCAAAGATAACACCATTTCCTGATTGGTTAGGTGTTGGGTGTGTGTAAAAGAGGAGATATCCGTGTGCCTCTAACTTTTTATTTTGCCCTGACCAAGCACAAGGATTGGGTTGCCATTTTCTGAGATTGGGAAGAGCAGCCTTTCAAAGGACAGGGAGGAAAATCACGAGTTCCATGTTGGATATTGATAGACCTTTAAACGTGTAAGCAGAGATGCCCCGTAAGCGGTTGAATCTGTGAATATGCAAGTCAGAGAATGGATGTCATCTACAGCAGTGATGTCTAATACAACAGCCCCTATCCACACATGGTTATTCAAGTTTAGATTTAATTTAAGTTAGATTTAAAGTCTTATTCTTCAATCATACTAGCATATGAGTGCTCAGCGGTCACATGTGGCTGTGGCTACCATAGGGAGCAACACAAGATTGTGGTACATTATCATTGTCATCGCAGAAAGTTCTACTGGACAATGCTGGTGTAGTCTTGAATTTGGGAGTGTTTAACATGTAGATTAAGATCACAGGACTGGATGAAATCACCTGCTGGAGGAAGTATAGGTAGATAAGAGGTCAAGAGATTGGAGGTCACTTTGGCATTGATGGTTAGGAGGTAGAGTATTTGGCAAAGAAGATGTGGAATGAAGGCTGGTGGGGCACAGAAGAACTAAGAGAATGGGTTTCTCATTCAAGAAGGAAGTGAGCAACTGTGTCCTGTGATGGGGCTGTGATGGGTTGAGTAGGACGAAGCCTATCAACTATTGGACATGCAGGGTTTTAGTGACGTGGGGAGGGATGCCTGATGGGTGAATAAAGAAAGATTGGAGACAGAGTAAAAGCAGAATAGAGGGATTTTTGTTCTAAAGGGAAACAGTGAAATAGGATGTGAGCTGGAAGGATATGTGTAGGTAAGATTTTTAAATTTAAGATGCAAGATATAATAGCATGCTTGGATACTGATGGGAAAGATCTGCTGGACAGGCAAATTCCAGTAAGAGTGGAGAGAGAAGGACAACTGTGGAAGTGATGCCCTTAATTAGAAGGGGGAAGATGGACAGAACCCACAGCAGGGTGAAGAACCTGGACCAGACAGGAGCCAGGATAGCATTCGGGTACCGAGAGAATTGAAGTGTCTGAATACAGATGCAAAAACAGGTTCACCAGGGGGAAACACCGTAACTCTCTCTTGCTGTCAGTAGCATTGATAATGTTTAATGGGTAGCTTTACTAGAGCCTTGGAGAAATGAGACATCTTGGTTGCTTTTGTTTATTTAATAATAGCCCTTTGATTGATCTTCACAGTCTAATTTTTTTCCCCTTAAATGCATCCGGCTATTCACAGCAACATTTTTAAATGCTTTATAATGAAAGCACATGCCATCTATGGCCTAGGTTCTAGAATCTGTCTAAAAGGTGAAAGTATAATACATTTTTAAATGCTTGTTGAAAATGTGTTAAACCACTCTTAAGGATTCAGAACATAAATCCTTGAAATTTGGAAGGCAAGAGCTAATGTTATTTTTTCTTTTCTTTGCGTTTCCTTCGGGGATTCCATTCCCTTATGGCAGTAGAAGTCAGGATCTAGTTTGAATGGGGTACAGTATGGGGCGGAGTGGTCCTCGGAAGTGGAGAATTAGTAAGTGGATTTCTTTCTTTATGGCTCTTGACATTTAAATATACCTCCCCTTACATGTGTGTACGATGCAACTCCAGTGTATTGTAATATAATGGTGGCTCATGAGCCTTAGCTCACGATAACACTTAATGCATTTCAGCTACATTTTACTGCCACGTGTGTACATGTAGTGTGCTGTGTGAATTCCTCCCCCACAAGATCTCTACCTTCCTGTGGCACAAATAGCAGAAGTGTTCCATTTGAGATACTACTTTAATTGAAGGAGAGATTGAGTTGAAATATCAGTGAACATCAAGATTATCTTCTGAATTTAAAACTTCTCAAAATTCTAGTTTGACTATGAACTCGGAAGTGTCTGTGTTTACTTAATATCACATGAAGACATTAACAGAAACACCAAAAATATCTCAAATAAGGGAAGCGTAGTACTCATTCAAAAGATATGAAATGTTATAAATAATTGACATGATTCCAAGCAGAGGTGTACAACTTAGCAGCAAAAATAAGAAAAGCAAAGACTAGAAAGAGCCTCAGAAGAAAGATGCCTGGGACCTCGATTTTGAGGTTTTCATTGGTTAGTAATGAGAACTTGGCATTTGTCCATTTTAAGGGTACCCCCTGTTTCATTCTTTTGCTGAGGCATAAGGGAAACAAAGAACTATCCATTAACATTTTGGTTGTTTCTGATTTATTTTGTTGTACAAGAAATGATACCCACACCATGGGACCTTCAGAGTAAGCCATAATATTCCTGGAGATATTTAAGCTGATAGCAAAATGGAAACCATTTTGTAACAGCCTAAGGAGTCTGGTATAATGAAGGCCCTTAAACAGCTGCCACCCACCCAAACTTAACTGAGGTGGAACCCCAACAAAAAGATTTTTTTTAACCAGAAATCTGCTTTGCTTCTTGGGCATGAATGCCCTGTTCTGGTGGCAAAGAATTTTCCACAAGACTCACAGGGCAAGAGAGAACCAGCTATTTATATTCATGCTTTGAGCTTGAAAGAAAATAAAAACTAGTTAAGAGCATCAGAAAGAGAGGCGAATCATGTTTGCCCACACCACAAGCAAGGTGATGCACTGCAACGGGTAAGAACATCTTGTTGGAGGTCCTACGTTCTATTTTAAGCTCGTTGACTCATCCCCTGTGCGATCTTGCACAAGTTCTTTCTTGTCAGTTTCTTCCAATGAAAAAATAGGCAGCTTACGCTGTAGAGTTATTAGAGGAATGTTTTGAGATAACGCATAGAACAAGCCCTGCAGAGTGTCTGGCACCTGGGAAATGCCCATAAATGATTGCTCTTATTTCAGGCGTCAGACCTTACAGGATCAGATTTATCCTAAGTCGTTGCCTTTTTGAGGTTAAATCCATTCCAGTCTATATATTACCAACCCCTACTTCTGATCCTATCTTGTTTTGTCTTATCTGCTCTTCCTCGCACACAGTCAAAAGACACATTCTCTTTGGAAATGCTATTGGAAACCTGCTAGGATACAAAAGTTGGCAACTCTCAGTTGGGCATGCCCAGTGCTTCTGTTATGCCCAGCTTCCCCTGGCACTCAAGAGAGTGATTGTAAGTTGTAGCCCAAGATAAATTATAAAAATGTGTATGTGTCAATTCAGGCTCAGCCATCATCCGTGGGACACCACTGTGTGTGAGTGCCACACTAGGTTTTTAAGTGTAATGTGAAGGTATTGACCTCCCAATATAACCTTCTTTCCTTCAATATAATATTTTAAGAAATCACTGTTTTGCCTTATGAATGGGTATACCTACAGTTGAGAGTTGTGGGCTTATAGAAAATGTTAGGTCTCCTTTCTGTATTTAGCATCTATCTAAATCACAGTTTTGATTATATGGAGGTAGGTACATTTAAAGTATCATGGGAAACCTGTAAATCCACATAAAACACACTTGGGAACAATAATGTGAACCAACCTTAAGGTCAGAATTTCATACCAGTATCTTTAAAATGTTCAATGAGATTTCTGAAATTCCAGGGTCTGACTTGTACCTTGATGTCTGATTTGTATCTTACACTGTCCAGATTCTGATGCAAGGCAAAAATCCAGGGATTGCTTGGAAGTATGTACTTCCCAAGGTCATGAATGGAACTCAGCCAGCCTCAAAGAGACACGTCCACGTCTGGAGCACCGTGCAGTCAGATTGCTCCGTCTCCTGTGGTGGGGGTAGGTGATTTCCTAATTCTGTCTTTCAAGTCTCTTCTTAAAACCAGTCCTTTCACTCCAGGCCTTTTTAAGTTGTATGGTTTAAATAAACAACAAAAAAGCTGTCTTTCATGGGAACTGTCGCTGTGAAAAGCAAATACTATTTGTTGACCCTTGAACAGTACAGATTTGAACTGCATGGGTGCACTTATACATGGATTTTTTTTCAATAAATATATCGGAAGATGGGTGTGGGACGGATTTGTGACAATTTGAAAATGCATTTTTTCTCCAGCTCACTTTATTGGTAACATACAGAATGAAATACATATAACATACAGAATATGTGTCAATTCATGGTTTATGTCATCACTAAGTTCCAGTCCACAGTAGGCTGTTCGTAATTACCTTTGGGGAAGTCCAAAGTTATACCTAGATTTTCAGCTGTGTGTGGGGTTGGTGCCCCTAAGCCCTGCATTGTTCAAAGGTCAACTGTATTACAGCATTATTTGAGGATTTTCCTATGTAGAAAGGAACCAATTCCCACAAAACTCAAGTCATTCACAACAGGACTTCAGAGTTATATGTCTAAAATTTATGGGAGAAAATACATAAATATAGATCTATTTATTTATAAATATAAGGAAATGTAGATATATATATATATATCATTATTTTTTATTTTCAACTTATAGTTTAGTTTCTCCCTATCCTGGCTTGTCTGGATATAAGCCTCCCATGGGTACTTACAGAAGGTAGGGTCAAGACCTGTGTGAACACAAGTGTGAACACGAACTGAGATGGCCAACGGCAGCATGGGTATTGTGCCATCCCATCCCCTGAGGGGTGAGGTCGGCAAAGTCTCTCTCAGTAGAGAAATGTATGAAATGTGAGAAATCATCCTTGTAAGGAAAGGGAAAACAGCAGGGATCCTCTCAGCAAGTAGAAGGCAGGCACTTTATTTAGATCCCAAAATATCACGTGCTTGTTTGGAAGTCTGTCTGTGTGATTCTTGCCTCTTTGCAAAGAAGAATAAAAGCCCATGAGTAGCTCCATGAAAGCCCAGCATGAAGGTTGGTCACTCATTTCTTATTATCAGGGCAGACAGTGGGTTCCCCTGCTGTGCCCATCCCACTAAGCACAATGGGGCATCTTGGAGCCAGAGACAAAGCAGAATATGGAAAACGAAAAAATTCTTCTGTCTGTTATGTCTTATATCTAAAGAGGTATCTTTACACTCTGCCCTTTTTCTCTTACTCTCGGGTTGTGAGCAGTTTTTCACGTATCAAATGTTCTTTGAGACCGTCTGTTGTAACTGCCTGGTATTCCAAGGGGAACACAGTTCCTCGGGGACCAAGTCAGCCAAAGGCTGGATGCTGGAGAAGCGCACTGTGGGGTTCCCCCTTGTCTTGATCTGGCGGTCCCGTCGCATGACGTACAGACGGTGGTGTATTTGAGGCATAGGAGGAGAAGAGTCCAAACAACTAAGCACTCGGGAAGCGAACTATTAACTTTAGGGAATGCCCGTGCGGTTTTGACAAGCGCCTCCTGAAAGCAAACCTACTTGGTCCTCATCAGTAGAGAACAGGAGAGACAGACTTCTCATTGTTTCTCAGATTCCATGGTGAGGAGAAGTACCATGTAAATATAACCAAACAGAAGAAGAATCGGAGAGCTGACAGATAAAATTATCCACAAAAAAACATGTATGCCTCTGATGCAAAGGCCTGAAATGCTCAGTGAAAGCAAGGCAGTGGGGTGCCACTAAAACAACCAAAAACCCAGAGTCCTAGCTGATGGGTATGAGTACATATTCAGTGAGTTCAGCTAGTTGTCTATATGTGCTGAACTCTTACGGGAAGTAGAAGGTGCTTCATGGAAAAGCAGAATCTTCAAGTCACCATGCATAATAGACCAATGGTTTTTCTTAGAAGTCATTTTCCATTAGATGTCTGCAATGCGAGTTAAAGTTGGTGGGATGTTTCCCTTTTTTCAAAACGTTGTATTTATCACTTTATGTCTAGAATGCATAGCAGTCTTGGAGACCAAGAAGCTACACATTAAAATTATTAAAATATAAAAACTATTATATTGGGAAATGAGACTCCAATTAGTTGCAGGTTTTATCAAAAAAAAAAGGTGTTCTCACACACAGAGTATTTGGATTCCATGTCTTTAATAAAATATCAGAACCCTGGTAAATCAGAAGCTAACCTTGGGAACAAAACTGAACTGATTATCTGTGATATTCACTTTGTGACTTTGGATATCTTATTAGGTTACGTAAGTGTCAAGGCCATTTGCTTACGAGATCAAAATACCCAAGTCAATTCCTCGTTCTGCAGTGCAAGAACCAAGCCAGCCACGGAACCCCAAATATGCAGTGCTTTCTCCTGCCCTGCCTAGTAAGTCACCTGGAAACGTCTTCCTATTTGTGCTTGTATGCTTTTATTGTGGATATGAGATAATTAAAGCCTCCTGTCCATGCTTATGATCAAAAGTGAACCAAAGATACACAGAATGCCCAAAAGAGTAATAAAAGGAAGAAGATAGTTAAGGTTAAAATATGTAACTTGAAAAACCCAAATTAGCTGTAGACATTCATTTGACTCTGGTTGTGGAGACCTAACCTGGACCTAGGAAGGTGTCCTTTTTTATTCCTAACCTTTGCATAGAGACTCCCTCTCTCTGAACTAAATCAAACAGATATTTCAATAACTCAGAATCCTATATTAGTTACATTTACAAGTGGTTGTATGCTTGACTTGTATATATATAGTCATACTGAGAATTTAAAAATCGTAATACTGTGCAGACCATAAAAAGAGGTAGAGGCCAAGTGGTAATCTGCTCCTGATTATGGCCCACCATGAGGAGCTCAGTGGGTTGGTTTGGGATGGATTTTAGCCACATTATTGTTTGAACACTAATTTTAAGTAATCTTCCCAGCCGCGTGGAGTCTCCTCTGATGTGATTTATCTTGTGCCAAATGCATTTATATAGAATTGACAGAGTTTCTTCTAAAGCCCTGTTGTGTTCACTAATGTTTCAGATCATCTTAATAAGTAGTGTTTGCTCTGTGGTGATGCAATTAGATTGCATGGTATTTTTAAGCACATACATTTTTTATCCTTGCTAGTAATGCATTTATCGTAACGGTTTGGGGCTTCAGGGTCCACCAATCCCATACCCCCAAATTGAACCAGGTTTTCTCTTAGAATCTGGAACCAGCTGTGTTCTGAACACAAAGAGGAAAAGAAAATTTGGTGGGCTTCCGTGGACTTGTTTCTTTTGCAAGAAATATCTAGTTCTAAGAAATATCCAGTGGCCCTAAGATGTGATTACCAGACAGCGTTATTGACCACAGGGGTGTGATCTCACCTTAAGAAGGGGTGTGTGTGTGTGTTTATGTACATGTAGGAACTGTAAGTTTAAATGGTGAGCTGATATTTTCTGATGTTAAGCCTCCTTTCTATCATTGATTTTTTGCCAAGCAAAGAAGGGACCCCATTCATAGGTACATCCATGAAAAGGGAGAGGGTTGTGCTCGTGCCCAGCTCCTAGACCTGCCCTGATGGCTGCATGGGAGAGGATATTCTGTGCAGTACAAGTTTACTGGCTATATAAGGGCAGAACGGTACAGCCCCTTGCAATAACTCTGCAGAACTGGAGTGGTGAAGCAGGCAGGGGCCTTTGTGCCCTTCTTTCCTTGGCCATCCTATCACTTATATCTCTGTATTTTCTGTGGGATTAATGGGACCTTTCAGGGACTGTTCTTCCCCAGGGATATGCTAAATATAAGGCTTAGACTCTTAGAGTTGTAACGACAAAGGTGTTCATCAGATCTAACTCTATTATTTTCCCGTGTAACAACCACGTCACATGCACTTACGGTATGCCAGCCCTGTATGCGACGTGGAGATGAATAACTTGTAGTTCCTGCTACCAGTGAACCCACAATCAGGCGGAAGAGGTGCATGTGTAAAGAAATAATTGAGATGCAGTGAGATGTATGTTATAAAATTATTCCGTATAAAAAAAGTAATAGGGGAGAAAATGGACAATGTAGAACTCTGGGCTCTGAGGTCGGGGTTGACAGGGGCTGAGGATGGATGGAGAGGGAGCCTGGGACCCAAGTGTGGATAGCCATGCATGCCATGCAGAGAGTCTGTTTGCGTTGTGCTCTTCCAGTACTTTTACAGACTCATCACATTTGTCACATAAAGGAGAGAAACTTGAACTTGGTAGACAAACATGCCATCCTCATAGGCAAATTTTGAAACTAATTATTTCATCATCATATGTTTTCTTTACACTTTATACAATACAAATAATGGTACAAGTAAGGAGTTATGCTGTTTTATATCCTCTTTTGTTAAATAAGATCATACGGCTTATGCAATGTTTCAGAATACATATAATCCTAGAACTCATGTGTGAAATTCTCCAGCCTAAAGGAAAGATCTTTAATTTCACACACCCAGCCTGTGGGGGAAGATGGGGGAAAAAAATTATAGGCATAGGAAAGGTGATGGCAGTGCATGGCATCGCAAAATCCTATCTGGCCTCGGTGACGTTTTATTTCTTAAAATGAAACGTAGAATATCTGCACACCAAGATCAGGTGTAGACATTGCTGCTGTGACTGACATATATACGGATCACATCTGGTCTATTGGACTGTCAATTAATCAGAAGCAGTTGTTGAAAGGATTAGTAATTTCAGTTGGTCACCCACCAAATATGTGCCATGTCTCAGCTATGAGAAAAGAGGATTGGCTTCTTTAAATAAAGGACATGAGGGCATTCTTCTAACCCATCAGTGAACTTTAAAACTAGGGAAGAGTTGAGGGTACTGCCTACTTTGAAACATCCTCTGAGGGACCTTGTCTGACCGCTTCTTTGCACACCCCTCTCCCGCTCACGGATCACTTCCCGTTAGTCTCATTAGCGTGCACTGTATTAACTTCTCTTGTGGCAATTATCAGAAAGTAGTCTTTATGTGCTCACGTATCTACCTCGTCACCATATTATATGCTTCTCAGTGGCGAGACCATGGCTTCATTCATTTTTCCAACCCAAATGCCCTGGCACAAAGTTAAGATCCCAATAAATTTGGCTGAATGAATGAATGGCTCAGATTTCCAACTGGTACATGTTACTTCCCCTGCAGGGGGCAGGAATTTTTTTCCCCACAACTGTGTGATGATTAAATGTAAACAGGACCACATTAGCATAGACTATAAAAGAATAGTTAGTATGGATTTCCCTTATTGGTTCTAAACTTGATTCAAGTTTCATCAGGTGGTTTATCACTCATAGTAATTGCTTTGGAAGGGATGTCCCAAGTCTCGGCTTCACTGGAAGTAATTCTGTTTTTCTCTGCAAGTTGGAAGCCAGGGGAATGGAGTGCGTGCAGCAGGTCATGTGCGGGGGGCCAGCAGAGCCGGAAGATCCAGTGTGTGCAGAAGAAGCCCTTCCAAAAGGAGGAGGCGGTGCTGCATTCTCTCTGCCCCGTGAGCACACCCACTCAGGTTCAAGTCTGCAACACCCACACCTGCCCTCCAGGCTGGAGCCTTGGGCCCTGGTCCCAGGTAACCAGGAAGGACTTGGAGGCAGTTCTCCATGGAAAAAAGAAGGTGGCAAAATTGGTGGTGGTGTCTTATTCCCCAAGAGGTGTTCAGCTGTGTATGCTTTCATGGAAACCACACTGAGTTCATGTGACGGGACATCTTAATTCATATTTTTAGTGATTTTTAGGCAACCTAAAGTCTGGGAACCCCTGCACAATAGCTTAGAATCCTTAGGAGTCTGGAAATTAGAGTATGGGGGCCATTTAGGTCAGACTAGTGAGCACGGCAAGGAAGGACTGAGTGTCAGGGGACTGGCAGATGGAATCGGCCACTAAGTGGAAAATAGAATGAGGCATGGAACAGACATTTAAGTCTTGCTTCCCTGAAAAGAGGTGGGGTTAGAGGACACAGAGAGGAGTTGGGTATAAACTTTGCTATTGTTACAAGCCCCAATGAAAGGTAGCAAATTACCAAGTTGGAGAAGGCATAGAGCCACCTGTCATCACAACTCCAAGGTTCTCAGTTGGAAGTGAGTTCACCCCCCCAGGGGACAGTCTGATCGGCACAACCTGGGTGGGTGGAGCTACTGGTGTCTCTTTGGTAGATAAACACCCTACGATAGACAAGGCAGTTCCCAAGACACAGAGTTATCTGGTCCTCAGTGTGCTAAGGATGAGAACCGTGCTCTGAGATAGCCCAGCCTCTGCTAAACCAGGGATGCAAGCCGGTGCGAGGGAATCATCACACAGATGCAGGGGCTTCCCAGTCTGAGCTCTGCAGCCCGGCAGCAGCCCTGATCGCATTTCCCCCATGTTTTCCTTTAGGGTACCAAGTATCCTGGAGAGTATTGATTTTTGCTTAATGAAGGCAACACACATCCCCCAAAGAGTTCAGGATAAGGCTTTAAAAAAAAATGTATAGGACATTATGGGTTTTTTTTTTTAAATGTCACAACTATATCTGATGGGAATGAAGACCTAGGGGTGGGAAAGAACATCTTGAGCATACTCAGGTATGCTTTAAAAGGAAGGTGATGGTCATTTATAGCAGAGGGTAAATCTAAGTAATACACAGTGTTGAGTCTGGTCTCTTTTTTTTGCAATCAAAGGTTATCATTTATAAGAGGAGATTTCAAAGGACTGTTTTAGCCAAATATGTATGGTGGGTGTGGAAGAAGGAAATGGGGGAACTGGGAAGTTTCAAATAGGACCTCACGAAAAAGACCTTTAGTTCACAGTATTTACCCCAAATTTGACATGAAATCTGCCCATCCTCACTCCTTAGCAGCTGTTTGATTGATCTTCGTTAAGATGCCCAAGCTCTCTGATTCTCAGACACCCATTCTATAAAATAGGATCTAGCAATGATCACGTGGGGTTCAAAAAGGGTGTGTGATACAGGCTCTGGAATATACTGGAAGCATCACCCCTTGGAGGGTGTTCTGTACATATTCTCTCCTGCTGTAGTTTTCAGATGATGATAATAACAGCAGCAGCATCCTATCTTTGTCTCCCTTGAGAATGTAAAAAATGAGAATTCATGTTGGTCCTCTGAGCAGGCTTGGAACTGCGCCTGGGTGTTTGCATATTGACAAAGAGTCAAGACAAGGGGGGCTACTCATGTGCCTTTCTGAGAGGAAACAGGCCAGCTGTGAAGGCAAGGGAGGGATATGTGCCTTGAGAGCAGTCCCAGACCTGAGCCGGTATCTTCTAAGAGACCCTGATAAGTTTGTACTCATCTGAAAGCAGAGAGATGATTCCCTGCCTTATCTATTTCATGGAGTTCTCGTGATGGTCAAGGAAGTAAGAGTCTGAGAGTGATTCACCCACCATGCAGACTTTACCCCCAGTAGTTAGTCAGCGCAATGCCCAGCCCAGAAACAGCAGGTGTTAGGGGCAAGACTTGGATATCCCCAGCCCCTTCTTATTGCTGTCACAGTCTGTTGCTGTTTTTCTCCTTGGCATAAGAACTAATAACCCTCATTAGACAAGTGCCCAGACCCATTCTGCATTGTGCTAGAGACACAGAGACACCAAGGAACGGGTCGTGTACCATTTTCCAAATAGCAATCATGTGCACGAAGAGAGAAAACTTCATCTCTCAACCTGGGGCAACACGGAAGCCACTGGGCATTTAGGATGTAGATTGCAGATCTGCATTTAGGGTTTCTGGATGGAGGAAAGATTTCTCCTGTTGGCTACAAGGGATCGTACTGGGCATTTGGTTCTAATGCTTAAAAATAGTTTGGCAAGCACTTTATGAATGTTCTCAACACCCACCTGGAAGAAAATCATTGGAAACTAGCATGCAAATGGCCTTTTTTTTTTTTTTTCCATCTCAAGTGTTCCAAGACCTGTGGGCGAGGGGTGAGGAAACGGGAAGTCCTGTGCAAAAGTCGTGCCGCGGCTGAGGCTCTCCCTGAGAAGCTGTGCTCCAGCACCCCGAGGCCAGAGTCACAGGAGGGCTGCGTCCTAGGACGATGCCCCAAAAACAACCGACTGCAGTGGGCCGTGTCTTCGTGGAGTGAGGTATGAGTCTGAGGTACCGCTGGGGCTTTGAAACGCCCAGCCCACCCACCAGTATCCATGCCCAGAGCTCCTTTCTGTGCCACAGGCACAGACCAGTTACCTACTACTTATCCTTTCTTTCTCCTGATTTCCTCATCAGACACAGATAGAGCACCAGTCACGCTGAAAAGCTGTGCCTGGGCAGCAAAGATATAAAATCTTCTTTAGCATCCATGCGTAAACATGGACAAGGCACGCAGGGAGCTGTGACGGAGGTCTGTAATCCGAGGGGGCGCTGAGGGCCGCCCAGCCCTGGCGTCAGGAGGAATCCTCGGCAGAAGGGACTTTCCAGGGAGTGTAAGCCAGAAGGATGAGCAGGAATCGGGCAAGGCTGAGGTTAGGGATGGGGTCCAGACAGAGGGTCTCCCCACACAAGGGACAGAGGAGAGGATGGAAGGAGGACATAGTGGAAACTGGACACCTCATCCGGGACCTCAGGGGATGGACTGAAAGCCTACAACTGCTGGGGAGTTAAAATTCTAAAGATGTGGGACAATCAGGTTTTCATGTTAGAGAGAGAGGAAGGCGATGCGAAGCAGGCAGTCTCAGAGGCAGGAGACGTGCTCACATGGACGCGGCAGCAACAGGATGGAAGATGAGAGCCTTTCAGGGGCACAGAGAGGCCAGTAGCTTTGTGAGCTCCTGAAGACAGGCCACCTGGTACCTTCAGGCGTGTGGGGGGCAGACGAGGAGGAACACCTGAAACTGCCTCCTAGATCTCTGGCTGGAGTTCAGAGACACAGGAAACGAGACAAGGAGCCGAGCCTGAAATATACAAGCTAACAGAAGAGACGAGGTCTCTGCCCTTCAGGAGGTCCCAGTGCAGTAGAAGACAGATGCCAAGAAAGAGGAAAGGTCGGGAGGGGGGACGGTGAGGTCCAGGAGAGGAAGGGTGCTGTCCCAACAGCCCCTGGGTCTGTTCCACCGATGCCCTTTTCTTCTGTCTGAAGGATAAGCAGACAGCAATGTGTCTGCCTCTCTCGTCCTCACCCATTTATTTTTAAGAACCGCCATTCAGCAATAGCCAAATGCTTGGGATCACACCAGACTTAACCCCATTTAGAAGAAGTAAGCGCCCACTGAGACCCCGGTGTCATCCTCTGACCTTGTCTTTCCCTCTGACTTTGTCCCAGTCCCATCCGCACGGGGTGTCGCGGTCCTGCCCAACGGCACCTCATTTGTTTGGGGGAGTCTGGTTCTCAAGCCTTTGGCCTCCTCACCTGCAGCAGGAGGGACGTGGGTGTCCTTACCTCTTGGGTCCTCGTGTGCGTGTAGTTGACGCGCCATAATCCCATCCCTGTAATTGCTTCTTGGAGCATCCTGAGGTCAGAACACACCTGCTCGGCAGACCTGACCGCGGGGCTCCGCACACTCGCCCCTCCTTTCTCGGCCCCTAGTGTTCAGCGACCTGTGGTTTGGGCACGAGGAAGAGGGACGTGAAATGCAGTGAGAAGGCCTCCCAGGGAAAGCTGGTAACCTTCCTGGAGCGGAGATGCCGCAATATTAAGAAACCAAACCTGGACATGGAAGAAACCTGCAACCGAGGGCCTTGTCCTGCCCGTCCAGTGCACCATACAAATACGGCGACTGGATGGTACCCGTCGCCTTGGCAACAGGTGAGAGCAGGCAGATTCAGGAGGTTTCTAGTTAAGTGAGATTCAAAAAAAAGGAGGCAGTCGCCAAGGGCTGCTGTTAGAAACTTATGCAAGTGTAATAACAACAGGCTCGCGTTCTGGGGGCGCAGTGGTTCGCGTCCTTCAGCGCACTCACTCCACCACCCGCCACCCGTGCGGCCCTGGACCGGTCACCTAGCGTGTGAGCTTCAGTTCGCACACTGAGAAAACTGAACTAGTATCTTGCAGGCTTGTTGGGTTTTTTTTTTTTAATGAGGAAGTTAGATAAAGTACTTAGTACCAAGCCGGTCACATAGTGCTTGTGTTCACTATTGCTGCTGCTGTTAAAATCGCCACTGTGGTCTCTGAATTTCAGACATGCTGCTCGGTCTCAGGTCCTTTGGTCCTTTGTCGCAGTTCTGCATAATGACAGCTGACCTTTGCCAGACCGTTCCTATGCCAGGCCGGGTACTTCCCGCGCATTCCTTCTCTCACTTCATCCTTGAAAATGCCCTTTGAGTGGGTATTATCCCTATCTTGTGGATGAGGCGGGTAAACCTCAGAGAACTCAGCGATTCAGCCAATGGCACCCCCTTTAAAGCTCATCAGAAGGTAGAGGCACCCTTTTTCCCAGAAGACTGGGGTGAGACTTGGGTCGCGCTGGTTTGGTGCTGACTGGCGGGGACTGCATGTGATGCTGAATCAAGGAAAACAATGTGTCCTCAGGAATCCAAAACCATGTTTTGGTCCTTGTAGCCTTCTAAGCAATGGAGGTCACAGAGCTCTTCACAGAACTCACAGGCTTTAGGAGCTGCCCACCCCATCATTAAACACAGGGGCTGGGTGGGAGTGTATAGTGAGCACAAATGTCTGTATGTGCATGTGTGCATTTATACACGTGTATGCATAATTATATGTACACATTGCATATGCATATACAGTGTGCATTCATACATATGTAAGTATATGTATATATTACATACGCATATACAATGTGTGTATGTTGGGAAGGATTTGGGACTAAAATATGTAGGAAGGGAAAGGAAATTAGCATGATTGTGTATCTCTGATTGGCCAGACTATATATATAGTCCTAGGTACTCTATATATTGCTATATATATATACATACATATATATATATATATTGCGATGGATTTCTTATTTAAATTTTTGTTATTTTACTCAGTTAACAGATTTTGAAATAGATTTTCATATCAGCATCAGCAAACATTTGCCAGCAGGCCAAAGCTGCTGCCCCACCCCTGCCTGGATTTTTTTGTAGTTTCATTAGAACACGGCCATGCTCATTTGTCTCTGTGTTGCCTGTGGCTGCTTTAGTGCTACAAAGACAGAGTTGAGTCGTTGCCACAGAGACCATATGGCTCACAAAACTTAAAATGTTTACTATCTTGACCTTTACAGAAAACATTTGCCAACTCCTGATTTAGATGATTTGATAACAGTCATGCAGCTATATTTGAATTTGGGGCTGATTCCAAAACTCATACTCTTTCTACTCAGACACAGTTTTAACTCCCAAATACCAGTCCCTGTAATGATGCTCATCTAAGATGAAGACTTCACCCAAGTTCAATAAAATAAAACTAATAATAGCATAGGGGAGTTTTAAAGCAAAACAGAAGATAATCTAGTTAAAGAACTGTATTTTTTCCTGATAATAGTTTCTTCTTCTTTTGTTATGAAATCTTTATGTTAAATCTGCATATGTGTGTCTGGAAAAAATAAGTTGATAGTCCTTGTTAGTCTTTTTTTTTTTTTAATTGAACAATGAAGTCATCTGCTTCTAGGAAGCACCATACCCACCAGGCCAATTCAGAACTTGGCTGGGAGCTGAGGGCATAATTCCAAAGCTGTCTCAGAGTATTTTTTTGCCGTCCTAGTTTTGAACTATCTGCTCCACTCTTGCATCTGCAGAGATTATCTGAAATTCTTTAAATACTGTGATGAATTGCCTAGATGTGTCTGTATTTGTTTCTGCATTCTTACTGCAGCTTCTGTATTTCTGGAAGCTCTCCCTTTTATGAGTCAGTTAGCTGGGAGATGCAGACTCCTGGGCAAGATAGACAGCATTTGCCTGAGCCCCTTTTAATCAGATCAACTGGCTTCCACATGTTAGAAGGGACTCTGGGCTGCATGCATGTGTGCCCGGCTCTGGACAGCCCCTGTTCTATCACCAGGCGTCTTGCAAATGTCATGAAGCACAGAGATTCCTTCTATTTGATATCACTGACCTCAGAAGCGATACCACGCAGCCGAGTGTTTCTGACCCCTTCCCCTGTTCCCTCCACCGCAGTGCACCGTGACCTGTGGAGGAGGGGTCCAGACCCGAACAGTCCACTGTCTTCAGCAAGGCCGGCCTTCCTCCAGTTGTCTGCTCCGTCAGAAACCTCCGGTGCTACGAGCCTGTAATACCAACTTCTGTCCAGCTCCTGAGAAGAGAGGTAAAGGGCTCCACACTTCGGTCAATGTTGCTAGACTTCAGAGAAGTTTTCCAAAGCCCACCGTGTGTGGTTGCGCAGCTTAGGCGCTGCACAATCCTAGGGAATTCCCGTTACAGCAAAATCAGCGTGAACAGCGCCCCCTAGAGGCATACAAGGCACAAATCCAGGGTGGGTAGGGCTGCAACTGATCTTGCTTGGGCAGGTAGGTATGCAGGGAACATTCAGTTCTGTGATAAGGCTTTTTAGCCATTAATGCTTCCTTTGAAAGGGGGAAATGGTAATCTTGCAAGTCCATTTTCTTAAGACAAAGTTTTAGTTGGATAAACAAATGAGAAAGTAACCCCTATGCACAAGAGATTATGCTACTCAGTGGGAACCCAAGAGTGAACAAGAATTGCCCTCAGGGAGGTCATGTTTTAATAGAGGAAACAGATAAATTACAAGTCAATTCCAGTGAGTATGTATTCTCCTAAGACTACACCTTAAATGCTTTTTTAAAGACAGTTCAAATGAAGTACTGCGCATGCTGATGGAAAAATGGGCAAGTCACTTACCTGAGTGAACTATGTACTGTTCTTTACTAGCCTGGATTATTTTTAAGTAATCTGACAAACACCAGGAAATATTCCCTCAGCTTAATCAGATGTTCCTTGAGCTAAAGAATCATTTCATACTATGTACCTGCTGAGTTTTAGTTTTATCCAATCACAGCTACTACAGGAGGGCCGCAGCTCTTACCCGACTCCCCAATTTGTGGTGAATGGGACTCAGGTACTCACTTGTTCCCGCCTCTCCATGTCACTTCCCATCTCTGAATTGTTACTGTTTATCTACTTCTTACAGCCCAGCTACAGGCTCTGGACATCAATTTGCCCCCATCTGTTTCCTTTCTTATCTGAGGCTCACATAAGAAATCTTGCAATAGAGCAGCTGCTCAGTACCCAGCTCACCTCTGAGACAATCCTGTGAGTGTACAACATGGCAGCATTTCTCAACAGGGAGCTTATGGGGGAAGACACTTTCTGAGAGGGTGGGCACATACTCCCAGACCGTCTCCTCCTTTCTTCACCACCAGTGGTTTCTCATTTCCAGCCTTTAGTCAGATGGCCACAGGTGATCCCACACATCTAAAGGCCGTAAGTAAAGTGCACGCCCCCTCGGCCCTATCAGAAAGGCCAGAGGACACAGGCCAATGAGGAAGATTGCTCAATAGTATCTCCAGGGCAGGAGTGCAGAGTGCGGTGAGTCAAGAGGCACGTTAGGTCCAAGACAGCGGGCAGGTCACTGGTGGTGTTATTTTGTCCGCCCAGAAGACAGTACCACACCTGTGCTCAAAACAAACATGAGTGTCTGAATAAGTGAAAGAGTGTGTGTAAACCAGTGTGAGGTCCTCTCCTTCTTTCACAGCCAGGTCACTGAGTATCTGCTATCCATGACCTAAAGGAAGGTGAGCTATGTATGCATCTAGCAGGAGAGTGTTCCTGGCAGAGGGAACAGCAAATGCAAAGGCTCTGAGGCAGGAAGATGTGAATCAGATCAAGGAAGAGCAAAATGTAGGAAGCAGAGAGGGGTTAGGTGATGAGCTACCAGCAGTCCTGAGGGCTCTGGCGCTCACTGTTAGGACCGCAGAGTTGAGTCTGGAGTGAGATGGAAGCTGGCAGTGAGCTTTGAGCAGGGGAACAGCAGGATGTGACTTGGGGAGGGTCACCAGCAAGTACAAGAGAAGACGGGGCCTCGAGCAGGAGGAGGACCCACTAGAGCAGTGGTGGCGGTGGGAGCAGCCGGATGCTGAGTATAGCTCGAACACTGAGCCAAGAATATTCCTCAGATGTTTGCATGTAGAATGGGAGGCGAAGAAAGAGGACTCCAAGTATCATCCTCTATAGCATAAATAAAATGAGTGACTGAGAACAGAAGCTTGAATAACCAGCTATTAGTAATCCTTATTATAACTCTAATCAAACGTACTAGTGATTGATAGCGTAGGGATACACCTCAGTCCTGCTTCCTGACTTACATTTACCTTACGGCACAAACTGCAGATGCCTGCTGCAATTCCATCCCCATCTCAAGAGGGTAAGTGCAGATAAAAAGTGCAGTTAGGACCGTGGCTTTATTGATCTGCTTTAGCCTCCAGTATTTCTGCTGCATCAATAGGATAATCTCTACAGTTTACATAGAAACTGATTCAGATGTACATTCCCATTAGGGTACATGCTAACTGATTAGGGCATAAGATACTGTACATTTTAAAAATACCTGAACTTGAAGATGTGTATGTAGATAAATAGGCCAACAGTTTAGCTGGATCTTCATCTCATGTCTAACTTAATGTATCCTGAACCATTTTCCACCACCTATCCCTGTAGAGGTCTTCATTTCAGTGACCGTGACCCCATTCTTCTAGATGCTCAGGTCAAAAATCCTGTAGTCATTCTTGATTCTTCACTCTCTTACCCGCTACCGACCTGTCAGCAAATTCTCTCCACTGTACTTTCAAAATCTATCCAGGAATTATTGAAAAGAATGACTTCCTTTCATCTTTAGATCCAAGTTGAGACTTCGTGTGTTTGGAATTGGTTGTTTCAGCCATGGCGGTGACAGGTAAATTATTTTTTCAAGTGTTCCCTGAGTAGCTATTCTATGTTGGGAACAAAGCAATGGGAAAAAAAAAAATAGACAACATCTCTGCTCTCAAGGATTTTGCATTCCCACAAGGAGCCAGACAGTATGTCAACGCCATACCATGTGTGCTGATAAACCCAACACAGGGGAAAAAGCAAGGTAGAGAATGAGCAGTACTTCCTAGGAGGCCCAGGAGCTTGCTGGCTTATGGGGCAGTCTGGGGGGGCCTTACTGATGCACGACCTTGGAGATTTACAGGAAAAGAAGAGCAAGTGACCCAGATGCCTTCAGGAAAAGCAGAGTCTGCCTGGGATGTTAGGGTACCAGCCAGGCAGCTAATGTCAGGGGGAGGAGGAAAATGAGGGCAGAGCAATGGGGAGCAACCAGGGCCTAGGGCCTTGCCGGCCTTTGTAAGGACCGGGCCTTTCACTCTGGGTGGATGCGTGCCGGTGGGAGAGTTTGGGGCGGAAGCATGAGCTGGCTTATGTTTTACAAGGATCACTGAGGTTACTACGAGACAGGGGGTGGGGGGATAATAAGTAATAAGAGGGGATTTTAGGCAGAGGAACTAAGGCTTGAGGAAGGAACTGAAGGCAGTTCTGAATCACAGATAGGGTACAAGCTGGGGGCAGCAGGGAAAGAAACAGGGAAGCCGAGGGCCTGGCAGGCCGCGTCCAAGGGGCACAGAGCAGAGCCGCTGAAGGGTGAACCGGGGGAGGACAGGCCTCGGCACCGTGTGGTTTCACGGGAGTTGAAGGTAAAGGTGGCTAAGGCTCATATAGAGGAAGGGGAAGATAATCCCAGCTCTGAGTGAGAATAATACTCACGTAGAAGGTAGACCATAAATACTTCGAGCCAAAAATTCATGAGAATCTAGCAAACCAACTGGGACCTAACTCCTAAAACATGCATTTGTGTTTATACAAGAGAAAAACTTACATTTTCTTACCCTCCTGGGTAAGAATCTCTGACACATGTTCTGCTTCCAATCGATAGTTACATCTGTAATCTTACTTACGCAGCGAAACAAGTGAGAAAGGACTGGTGCTGACTTAGATTCACTGAGCTGCAGATTAGCTAGGTTTATTTAAACATACCCACCTCAGAGGCAGGTGTCCTGACTCCCAGTATACAGGAGGCTTCTTGCTCCTCAAACTCGGGCCAGTGGCCCTGCAGCGATAGTGGATCCCTTGGAAGCTTTTTAAAACTACGGAATCTCAGCCCTCATGCCAGACCTTCTCGGGGAGGACCAGTGGCTGAACAAGAGCCTCAGGGGATTCCTAATGCACCGTTCCAGGGTGCTCCTCTTGGATGCCAAGTGGTGGCCCCTAGGTTATTTGGGGAGGATCAGACATTAGTCTCTGGCTGGATGTGACTTTTTGCACCCACTTTCCTCCACATGCTGAACTTCTGCTAATGGTCGTATAGTCCCTTTTGCTGTCTTAACCCTGCTTCCCCAGCATCCTCCACCAAAGTCCTAATGGACAGTGAGAAGAACCAGTTAGAGGCACAAGGCAGGCAACTCCAGGGTCTTTGATCCCTAGGCCCTCGCCTTAAGGAAAAGGCTGAGTCTTTTCCTCACCTGCTAACTGTGTTCTCTCATTTTAGAGGATCCATCCTGTATAGATTTCTTCACCTGGTGTCACCTGGTTCCTCACCACGGAGTCTGCAACCACAAATTCTACGGTAAGCAGTGCTGCAGGTCATGCACAAGGAAGAACTGATCCTAAGGCCTCGTCCAACACCTCGGGCCCAGGGTCTCACCGCTCAGCCTCTGGAGAGACCAGCGGCCTTTCAGACCAAACGCTGACCTCTGCAAGCCCCTGGGAGGAGGCGCCTCGGAAGCATATGGTCCTCGGAAGCACTTGAACATGGGAAGTGATGACACGTCTGACTTCTAAAACACAAAAACCCGAAAGACAACTTGGCTTTGCACTGTTTCACAAAAGAAGTGATGAGTCCCCCTGAGCTATGTCAAATCTCGATTTTGACCAAGTGAGAATCTTCTCAACTCTGCGACAGAGTCCCCTGTGAACTTCAAAAGGTCCTATGGCAGACATCTGTTTTGAAAAGGTCCTTTAAGACTTCAGGTCAAAGACTGAGACTTGGGACAGTCAGATGCAGCTGGAACCCCTTGCCCAACTGTTATTTGGTGCTCACAGTTTGACTGCAACTATGGACATCCCCAACCAGGAGTCATATGGTGCTTATGATTGTGCTTGCTGCTGGACTGGCAAGCTTCATGTTATGTTTATTTAGGGTGTGCGTGTTGTTTTTATTTTTTTGTTTATAGTCTGCTTATAGAGAGTCTCCAAGACTAAAATTCACAACTTGAAAAGTATTCCAAGGAATATTCCAAAAATAGGGCAATGCAGACGGTTTAAAGTCTCCGTTTAACTGACATTCATACTCTGAAAAACACAAACTCATAAAGGCCAATATCTGACACCCTGCACATTACAGAGCCACCTCATACTTTCTGGTGCTAACTGAACAAGCACACAGGAGCCTTGCGGCTGCTCTGGGGGAATCGGAATTGGTGTGACATGTTCGTTTCCAGTAAAAATCTAGGAGCTAAATAGCAAAAGAACAATGTTTTTTGAAGGCGAGGAGACCATCATCTATAATGCTCCCTACTTATTATCTGAGCTGCTTGGAAAATTAAAGGCCACTTGTGGTTTTTTCCTACCAACTGACATGTTTGACTTTGTGCTAGGATTTAGTTAACAAGAGAAAAGTCACAGCAGCAATAGAAAAATCCATCTGTCTTCTTGCTATGTTAATATTAATAAATCATCATATGCCAAGACCCTTCAGTGAACAAGTATTTTATAGTCTTCAGAAGCCAGCTGTGGGTAGGCATTAATGAGCTTGAAATTGTTCAAATTGGAAAAACACCACACTGTTTTGCCAAAACCAAAGGCACTTCCGTGACTGTGTCCCTCCATAATTTTTTTGAGATGTGGTTAACAGGGCATCTTTATATAATTCTATTCAATTCTTCAATTTCTTTGATGAATGGAACCTAATTTTATTGCTTTAAAAAGTCTCAATTCGAACAGGGATTTGCCAGCTCAGCACAACCACCCAGACAGTGGTTTGTTAAATTTAGGGCATCTTTGTTCCCATTCTAATTGAAATCACGAATTCTCAAATCTCAGAGAATAGTCCCTCAATTAGCGTGGCATGGCCTAGAGTGGTGGTCATTTTGGCATCAGAAAAGACTCATTGCACATCACCACTTCCTTGCCCTCTGAAAACCTGCAAGCTATTTGTTACTTTAATTATCATTTATTTTATGGAAAAATTAATTTATTAATAGCCTATTATGTGTTCTCACTTGCTTCTCCAAGTAAGTGAAATTAATTGAGGAGAAATGTTGAATAAAACCATGGGTTACAGAGAAAAGTCAAAATATATGTGTAATATTTAATTATTTTATAAGTTTTATAATAAAGTGTTCTGTTTATCTTGGAAACTTGTTAAGTTCTTAAATAAGTGAGAAGTCAGTTATTTCCCAGGTGATTTAACTATACAAAGGTTAAGACTCTTAATTTCTCTATGAAAAGTTGGGAGAAGGTAAAATATTCATCAATTAATTTTTCTTATTTCATTTTCTTACTATGTATGAGAAAATCAGAAACCATCAAATGCTGGTATGAAATAGATGACATATTTACCATCTTATGGAAATAGTTATTTTTTTCATTCATTTATGGAAATCATCTAAGATAAACTACCCATGATTGTAGTTGTTTTTCTTTTTCTCTTTTCCATTTAAAGGCTTTCTGGTAAAAAGGAAGGAGGGGAAGGAGGAAAAATCTAATGAATTAAAAAGCAATTGTTCTCAGGTTTTCCAAATTTTCAATCATCAGACCAGTGGAAAACAAACTATCTGGGCAAAGTAAATCCAATGGACCTGAATATTCAGTATTTCTCCCTGAATATGTGATTATATGTATACATTTTTATGTATAAGTTATGCATGCATATCTTTAAAATATGTTATTATAGGATTTTATACAAATTATTTATTGCTCTTTGGCAAATAACAAAAAATTATGGATAAAAATGAAAAACTGAATAGATGGCAGATAAAACAGATGGCAGAAAAAAAAGATATCTTTGTAACTTTTGGTAATAAATTATTACTAAAAGCAACCATACATTAGTGTTTAATGGGTGCCAGGTGCTGGGCTAAGCCCTTTACGTATGTTACTTCATTTCATCCTCACAACAACCTACTTAGGAAGATACTATTGCTTTCTGGTTGCAAAGAAGACGACGACTCTGGGACTCAGAGAGGTCACATATTTGGCCCAAGGTAGTCACAAAAGTAAGCCCAATATATAAACATTTAAATTGTTATTTGTTTACAGAATTCATATCTGAGAAAAATTCCTCAATGAGAGTAAGAGAACTATTCAGTGCCTCAGAAATATTCAGCTTATCATCACTGAGCTTAAGATAAAGATGGAACTTTCTGTATGATTTTTATCTTTAATCCCAATTCATATTTGGACAAAGAAGAGACAAATAATATCTATTCCTTGTACCTTTGCTGATCGAGTTAGACATGGTGAACCATGATATAAGGGACTTTGGGTCAATAAGTTTTTGTGTGTAGAGAAGCCATAAGGAATATCCAGAATGTATTTTTCCGAATGTGTCTAGTTATTTGTGAGTTCGAACAAAGTGATGGCAGATTGCCTTATCCATGCACACAGCCACAGTGATGTCTGGCCATCCTGAAGCAGTACTCACAAGGTACTTATTGTTTTCCTCAACTCTGCTTAGTGAGGGCCACAGTTGAATTCAAAATTGGGCCCTTTGATAACAAAGCAATTAATATGACTGTTAGTTGGTTTAATGGACAAATGAAGTTCAAGGATAGTTCCCAGCAGCCTAATTGGGATGAGAAAGAGGCATCAATGTCTAGGAAAAGGAAATCCTGCAGGCCATTTCTCTGCAACCCGGTTTCTTTCTACCCTCCTCCTCCCGGTATTGCCGTGGCCGCCCATCCAGGCCGCTTCTGCACCATCCAGGCTAGGACATCGCTGGAAAGTCCCCCTGAGCTATGTCAAATCTCGATTTTGACCAAGTGAGAATCTTCTCAACTCTGCGACAGAGTCCCCTGTGAACTTCAAAAGGTCCTATGGCAGACATCTGTTTTGAAAAGGTCCTTTAAGACTTCAGGTCAAAGACTGAGACTTGGGACAGTCAGATGCAGCTGGAACCCCTTGCCCAACTGTTATTTGGTGCTCACAGTTTGACTGCAACTATGGACATCCCCAACCAGGAGTCATATGGTGCTTATGATTGTGCTTGCTGCTGGACTGGCAAGCTTCATGTTATGTTTATTTAGGGTGTGCGTGTTGTTTTTATTTTTTTGTTTATAGTCTGCTTATAGAGAGTCTCCAAGACTAAAATTCACAACTTGAAAAGTATTCCAAGGAATATTCCAAAAATAGGGCAATGCAGACGGTTTAAAGTCTCCGTTTAACTGACATTCATACTCTGAAAAACACAAACTCATAAAGGCCAATATCTGACACCCTGCACATTACAGAGCCACCTCATACTTTCTGGTGCTAACTGAACAAGCACACAGGAGCCTCGCGGCTGCTCTGGGGGAATCGGAATTGGTGTGACATGTTCGTTTCCAGTAAAAATCTAGGAGCTAAATAGCAAAAGAACAATGTTTTTTGAAGGCGAGGAGACCATCATCTATAATGCTCCCTACTTATTATCTGAGCTGCTTGGAAAATTAAAGGCCACTTGTGGTTTTTTCCTACCAACTGACATGTTTGACTTTGTGCTAGGATTTAGTTAACAAGAGAAAAGTCACAGCAGCAATAGAAAAATCCATCTGTCTTCTTGCTATGTTAATATTAATAAATCATCATATGCCAAGACCCTTCAGTGAACAAGTATTTTATAGTCTTCAGAAGCCAGCTGTGGGTAGGCATTAATGAGCTTGAAATTGTTCAAATTGGAAAAACACCACACTGTTTTGCCAAAACCAAAGGCACTTCCGTGACTGTGTCCCTCCATAATTTTTTTGAGATGTGGTTAACAGGGCATCTTTATATAATTCTATTCAATTCTTCAATTTCTTTGATGAATGGAACCTAATTTTATTGCTTTAAAAAGTCTCAATTCGAACAGGGATTTGCCAGCTCAGCACAACCACCCAGACAGTGGTTTGTTAAATTTAGGGCATCTTTGTTCCCATTCTAATTGAAATCACGAATTCTCAAATCTCAGAGAAGTAATAGTCCCTCAATTAGCGTGGCATGGCCTAGAGTGGTGGTCATTTTGGCATCAGAAAAGACTCATTGCACATCACCACTTCCTTGCCCTCTGAAAACCTGCAAGCTATTTGTTACTTTAATTATCATTTATTTTATGGAAAAATTAATTTATTAATAGCCTATTATGTGTTCTCACTTGCTTCTCCAAGTAAGTGAAATTAATTGAGGAGAAATGTTGAATAAAACCATGGGTTACAGAGAAAAGTCAAAATATATGTGTAATATTTAATTATTTTATAAGTTTTATAATAAAGTGTTCTGTTTATCTTGGAAACTTGTTAAGTTCTTAAATAAGTGAGAAGTCAGTTATTTCCCAGGTGATTTAACTATACAAAGGTTAAGACTCTTAATTTCTCTATGAAAAGTTGGGAGAAGGTAAAATATTCATCAATTAATTTTTCTTATTTCATTTTCTTACTATGTATGAGAAAATCAGAAACCATCAAATGCTGGTATGAAATAGATGACATATTTACCATCTTATGGAAATAGTTATTTTTTTCATTCATTTATGGAAATCATCTAAGATAAACTACCCATGATTGTAGTTGTTTTTCTTTTTCTCTTTTCCATTTAAAGGCTTTCTGGTAAAAAGGAAGGAGGGGAAGGAGGAAAAATCTAATGAATTAAAAAGCAATTGTTCTCAGGTTTTCCAAATTTTCAATCATCAGACCAGTGGAAAACAAACTATCTGGGCAAAGTAAATCCAATGGACCTGAATATTCAGTATTTCTCCCTGAATATGTGATTATATGTATACATTTTTATGTATAAGTTATGCATGCATATCTTTAAAATATGTTATTATAGGATTTTATACAAATTATTTATTGCTCTTTGGCAAATAACAAAAAATTATGGATAAGAATGAAAAACTGAATAGATGGCAGATAAAACAGATGGCAGAAAAAAAAGATATCTTTGTAACTTTTGGTAATAAATTATTACTAAAAGCAACCATACATTAGTGTTTAATGGGTGCCAGGTGCTGGGCTAAGCCCTTTACGTATGTTACTTCATTTCATCCTCACAACAACCTACTTAGGAAGATACTATTGCTTTCTGGTTGCAAAGAAGACGACGACTCTGGGACTCAGAGAGGTCACATATTTGGCCCAAGGTAGTCACAAAAGTAAGCCCAATATATAAACATTTAAATTGTTATTTGTTTACAGAATTCATATCTGAGAAAAATTCCTCAATGAGAGTAAGAGAACTATTCAGTGCCTCAGAAATATTCAGCTTATCATCACTGAGCTTAAGATAAAGATGGAACTTTCTGTATGATTTTTATCTTTAATCCCAATTCATATTTGGACAAAGAAGAGACAAATAATATCTATTCCTTGTACCTTTGCTGATCGAGTTAGACATGGTGAACCATGATATAAGGGACTTTGGGTCAACAAGTTTTTGTGTGTAGAGAAGCCATAAGGAATATCCAGAATGTATTTTTCCGAATGTGTCTAGTTATTTGTGAGTTCGAACAAAGTGATGGCAGATTGCCTTATCCATGCACACAGCCACAGTGATGTCTGGCCATCCTGAAGCAGTACTCACAAGGTACTTATTGTTTTCCTCAACTCTGCTTAGTGAGGGCCACAGTTGAATTCATAATTGGGCCCTTTGATGACAAAGCAATTAATATGACTGTTAGTTGGTTTAATGGACAAATGAAGTTCAAGGATAGTTCCCAGCAGCCTAATTGGGATGAGAAAGAGGCATCAATGTCTAGGAAAAGGAAATCCTGCAGGCCATTTCTCTGCAACCCGGTTTCTTTCTACCCTCCTCCTCCCGGTATTGCCGTGGCCGCCCATCCAGGCCGCTTCTGCACCATCCAGGCTAGGACATCGCTGGACATTACTTAGTGCTGCACTGCAGTGCCCATGCCACATGCTGGAAGACACCATTCTAGAGGGCCACTTGGTGCTCCTTAACCCTCCATCCACGTGGCTAACAGACTTTCCAAACCTAGGGTGCAGGGAAGAGCGGTCCTCTCCCTGTGATCGTAAGTTAACAGTCAGAGTTGTGAGGAGATGGTCCTTGAAGGTGAACCAGGCCAGAGGCTGTTCGTGCTGGAGACAAGGCCCAGGCATGTTTCCACCTTCAGCTCCCTCCTCCCTCCTTCCATGTGGCTGAAGGGCAGGAGGAACCAGGCGACCCGCTCTTGGCAGGTGGCCAGGCCAGCTCTGCTGTTCCTTTGCACGTGCCTCTCTTTCTGAAGACCCTCATTCCATTTACCGTGGGGCTGATTAGCCCCTCTTCCCCGGAAAGAGGGTTTCTCTCTCCTCTGCCCCATCCCCTTGGAGACCCAGATTGGATCTAGAACAAGTCTCAGGACAATAGTTTCTAAATAATTAACTACATCACAACACCTAAGGATATCTGATACATTCCCAGGCTCCTTGCCAGAAGTTTACTTCATCAAACCTGAGGGTAGGGCCTGGGAATGTATATTTTAAAAGGTATTCAAGTTTCTCTAAGGAAAAGCCAGTTCAGGAACCACTGGTCTAGGGCAGATGATGAAATTGCCTTGGGTCTGTCTTCCTTGTCCAGGCAAAGGAGACCCCTGGACACCACGCCCTCTGGAGCAGCTCTGCTGTGCTCTGGGCCAAACTTGGCTAATTATAAATGGGTCTTTGTCTCTTCTCATCCTCTGCATGTGTGTTGCACCCAGGACACCCTTGGGGGCAGTAAGGAATGGGCCAA